ACTAGGGTTAGGGGATAATTGTTCCGGTTCAATTTCATTGATATGAATGTTGATTGCTCGATCTAAATGAGTTAGGCTAATCCTAGGGTTGAATGTCTGATCATCATTTAATCTATTTAATCGATTTTAGAACCGAAAGGGGAGAAATTGATCGACCTCAGCTTGTTTAGAATAGACTTGTTCGGAAACGTATTGTCTATGTGTTAATGAATTCGATAATTGCTCGTTTATGTTTATTCTCTTGTTTCGTGAGATATTGAGAATGAATCTCTAGATGAACTGGTTATTGTTTGTTCATTAGCTGAGTAATTGATTGCCCGTTTAACGTATTGAGAACCGAATACGATTGTCCCCGATACCCTAGTCCCTTTGAACTATTGGAATTTGTGTTTTAATTGAGAATTGGGAATTGATTGTTTTGCTTTCATAATTACTTGCTTTACAATTAATAGTCGTTAAATCAAACCATCAATCTTGAATTAGAGTGTTTAGGACTTTCTTTTATCTTTCTATGTGATTGAATAACGTGCAAAATAATCCGGCCGACCTTCCTTGTGAAACGACCCGGTGTCGAATCTTTCGATTCTACTCCGGTAAAAATATCTACAACAAATTGGCGCCGTTGCCGGGGAAGGTTTAGGACTCATTTTGTGCGCCTATTCTATTTATTTTCAGTGTTTCTCTTATTTTCTGTGATTTCTTGTTTTTTTTGTGTTTCTTTTGTTTTGTTTTCTTTGTCTAGTTTTACTGTTCTCTTTGTTTGATCTCTCTTCGTTCATTTTGTATTTATCTGGTGCCATGACGTTTTTGTTGTTTGTGTTTATGCGTACCAGGAGTGGTCGTGTAATCATCCCAGACAACGAATCCATCCAACAGGACCTACGAGACTTACTAGATAGTCTCGCACCAGTATCATCTACATTAGAAGACCAAACAGATATGGCACATAATGAACAAGATGAGGAGGTCAACAATCCTCCTAAGTCTCTCCTTCGAGATTTGGCTCAATCGGTGATTGGGCCAGTGACTTCATGCATTAGACTGGGGACAACAGATCGGAACTACGAGCTCAAAACCATCCACTACAACCAGCTTCCCTCCTTCCATGGTCTTCCCAATGAGGACCCACTTCATTTCATGCGTGAGTTCTACAATGTCCTCCAAACGTTTCCACTCCACGGATTGAATGAGGACCAGCTGAAAATGAGGTGTTTTCCGGAGACACTCAGGGATAGGGCTAAGGCGTGGCTGATGACACTTGCTCTAGACTCTCTTACCACTTGGGAGCAAGTGTACACGAAGTTCATCGGGAGGTATTACTCCCACTAAAAGACTCAAGAGCTGCGGTCCCAAATTGTCTCTTTTGCCCAACAACCGCACGAGCCCCTTCATGAAGCGTGGGAACGTTTTAAAGACCTACAGAGACAGTGCCCACACCACAATCTCCCTCCGGCTCTTTTGATGAATGGCTTCTATGATTCTCTCTACCAGAACCTTCAGTACATGGTGGACAATGCAGCTGGTGGAGACATTGGGGCGAGAACAGCGGAGGAGATGATGGATATTTTTGAGGCGTTAAGTTCTAGCTCGTCTCAGAAGAGCAGTCGAGGAAAGAGAGCGGTGGTCAATGAAGTATCTTCGGGACGAGACATGATGGCCCATCAGATAGCCGAGCTGACGGAGCAAATGAGGCTAATGAATGCTCGGACAATGCATCCAGTCCAGACCATGACAGTGGATACATGCGGGGCGTGTGGAGCCCAAGGACACCGGTCAGAGGTGTGCCCATCAGCTTTCGACCAGGAGGTGGGAGAACAATATGCAGATGTCAACGCCTTCCAAGGTTATCAGAACCGACAGCCCAACGACCCCTTCTCCAACACTTACAATCCAGGGTGGAGAAACCACCCACACTTCTCGTGGTCTAACAACAACAACACTCTCCAACCACCTCATCCAAGCTTCAACCAACAACAGCCTCGTCCCAACCTCATGCAGCAGCAATCCCGTCCCAATTTCATCCCTCGTCCGAACTACCAACAACATCAGCAACCTCAACAGCCAGCCCAAGGGTCCGGTTCAAGCTCGTCAAACCAAGATGACAAGCTGGACAAGATCCTTCAGTTTATCACCAACCAAGACTCGTCTATTAAGCGTCTTGAGACGCAAGCAGGCCAACTTGCTATGAGAGTCGGGAACATGGAGGCTGAGTCCGACAAAGGGAAACTTCCGAGCCAGCCCGAGCAAGCCAAAGCAATAACTGTGTTGACGAGCGGTTAGGAAGTGGACAACAAAGTGAGAATGCCCGAGCCCGACGTCCCAAGAACAACCGACCAGCCCAAAGAAACCGAGGAGAGTACAAAGACCACAAAAACCGACTCAGGAGAACCAACAGAGAGTCCTTTGCTTCACAAATCACCAAACCCTTACAAGCCACGCATCCCTTTTTCGAGTAGACTCCGTGACGAGAAGCAAGAGCAGCAATTCCGAGACCTTTACAATATGCTCTCGAAGGTCAATGTCAACTTGCCTCTCCTAGACATGATCAAGAGTATGCCATCGTACGTTAAGTTCTTTAAGGATTTGGTCACAAAGAAGAGGAAGTTCGGAGACGGGGAGAAGGTGATAGTCTATGAGGCGTCAAGTGCCATGCAGCACGATCTTCCAAAGAAGGAACGAGACCCCGGAGGCTTTGTGATAAAGATTGCTCTTGGGAATGGAAAAGAAGCTTCGAGGATGCTCGACCTCGGAGCGGGAATCAACCTAATGTCGTTTTCTATCTTCTAGCGGCTCGGTTTAGGAGATTTGCGACCCACTCGCATGTGTCTTCAGCTTGCTGACCGTTCGATTAGATACCCCAAGGGGGTAGTTGAGGATGTCCTTGTTCATGTCGGGAGACTCATTGTTCCGGTAGACTTTGTGGTACTGGATGTGGGGGACGTTCACGAAAACGGGAAGGACCACACTATCCTTCTCGGCAGGCCATTTATGGCCACCACCAACACCCTCATTGATGTCAAGAACGGGACCTTGAACATGACGGTCCTAGGCGAGTCCGTGTCTATCTCTGTCCGAGAGGCCACATCTAGCCCTTCGGCGAACTTTGTGGAGGAGTGTTCGTTCGTTGATGTGAGTGATCCTTTTGTCGAGGAGATGGCCATACGAGACTTGGAAGAGAGGTCATTGCCCGATCTCGAATAGGAAGAAGGACCGTTTGTTGAGCTAAGGGAGGTCGAGGAACCGAGATCGAAAGCCCCACCAACGCTAGAATTGAAAGAGTTGCCTCGTCACCTCAAGTACGTTTTCCTCGATGATGAGAAACAAAAGCCGGTTATCATATTTGTCGAGCTTAATCAAGACGAAGAGAAGGAGCTGATCGAGGTGCTTAAGAAGAATCACAAGGCCATCGGTTGGGGCCTGTTGACGAGCGTTTTCGGTCAACGGTTAAAATAAAGAATGTCGAAAGTAAGAGACTGAAAATGGGAGGATGATTCGGTTTAATTGCGACTTTATTAAACGATCACGAGGTCGGCCTCTCGTACGAGGTCGGCACTTGCGATATACTTACAATCCTTACAACGAGTTTCTTATAGTCTTTAGAGAGAGAAAGTAGAGAGAAGGCAGAGTTAATTGGATTTCAACAACCTAAAATAAATGAAATGAACTGCTATTTATAGTAGTCTTTAATGTTGCACTATTCAGCTACTGTTCACTGGTCTTGTCGCACAGTGACCTTGAGGAGCAATCCGGCGCCCTTCTGACATGTATTTAATGCGATTTGAGGTTTCTTCAATCATTACCTGTCAGGCATTAAATGCCAGCATG